GAGGGAGAGAGGGAGGGGAGGTTCGTGGTGGGTGTGCGGGGGGCAGGGGCAGACTGGGCGGGGACGGGGAGAGGGAGAGAAAAAGAGGTGGACGAGTGAGAGGTGGCGGGGAGGGATGGAAGTAAGAGGGTGAGTAGTTGGAGCAGGCAGCATGTGATCGACGACAGAAGAGAACAAAAGGAGGAAGAAGAAGAGGTGAAGAACATGAGGAGATTGATGGATTCACTCTACACGACCTCTCGTCCTCTTCACACCTGAAACTCTTGGATAGAGCTTGTCATCATGAGGCCTGATATCGGGACTGGGCTTGTCTGCACAAAGAGCACGTTCAGTGTTTTGAGCAGAGGAAGTCAGATCTGTTGCAGATTCTACGATTGCTATCGTACACAAGTTGTCGTTCATCCCGTTCTACTAGGCTAGCGACTCGTCAGAATGCCTTCTGCTCTACCTTCCCTCCTCAGATTCGTTGTGCGAATACCTCCTGCTCGCTTGATACGACTGCTCTGCTCTGATCTTTTCTGGTCTCCCCTCCTCTTGCCCCCGCCCTCCACTCTTCAGCTACTGGCATCAAAACTGGATCTTTTCTCTACATACCTGATTCTCTGCCTTAACTCACTCCCTTCCTCTACCTTGCCTGCTACTCTATCCCCTCCTTACTCTCACCCTCACTCTCTCCCTCTTTCTGACTTGCTGGAAAATCGCTCTGACTTACCTCTTCCTCTCCCTCTCCCTCCCCCTCCCCATCCTTGTTCTCGTCCCCTCACCCCTCGCCCTCTCCCTCTCCCTCTCCCTCTCCCTCCTCGTCCACGTCCTCCCCCTCTCTCTCTCTTCCTCTCCCTCTTCTTGCAACTTCTTCGCTCCTCTTCCTTACCTCCCTCATCATCATCCCGTCGGGCGCCGGCATCTTTTGACTTCGTTCTACAAGTCTATTTTAGCGATCATGAAATTTGTACCTGATAAATGTGTCTTCAATTTCTCTGGTACATAGCATGCTGTAATATATTTTTAATCTCATATAACTTGTACAAATTATTTGTAATGAGAGAAAAGGCATCGTGATACATTCACCCAAAAATCTGTACTCTCATAAACTTCAGTACAAAAACAGAGAAACTTTCAGGTAGTAATTTATAAATGTCCCCATCCTGGTACTTTTGTAGTTTTACAACGAGCTCAACTTGAAGTTTGTCCGAGGAGTTGCTTCCGAGGGAGAGGGGGGGGTGGTACCCACCACCCACCACCAACATTCCTCACTACCCACCTTATGGTACTGAGCATCACACACCCTGTACGTCAAGTGACGGGGGTCCATAAGACAACCTACCCGTACCAGTACCTAATTATATGTCTAGATAGTGAGGGTGAAAGGTTCGAGGGGTAGGGTCTGTTGCTCGGACCCCCGACCCCCCAGTTCTGGGAGCCGATGTTCCGGCTAACAGCCTGGGTCAGTACCCCTAGTAACTTGCAGGCACCGTGCCAGTGAGAACCCGAGTTGGGGGGGGTCCACTGGCTGCCGTAGTACAATATATGTCAGTAAAAAAAGTCATTGTGTACTAAATCGATTCAATCGGGTTCGCCGCCGAGTAGCCCGCCGGAAAATTTCTTTACTCAAAGTTAAGTTAAAAATCAGTACGAGGATTCAAGTCACCGTGGCCAAGTTTACTCATCTATGAGTACCGTCGGGCCCCCGCTGGAGCCGGTACAGTGCACCCCCCGATAATATTGAATGGCATTTGCGGCAAGGTACGGGCCCCCGCCAGCCGGCCCGACGGTCACCGTGCGGCTGCGCGGACTCGGCCCGGGGGCGGGACGTTGCCAGCAGCCTCGCCCCCGGGCCCCGGGCGGCCGCTGATGATCGCCCGGGACGATGCGCCCGCGGCCCGTTGACCATCGGACGGCGTGAGCCGCCGGCCCCGCGGCACCGCCGGGCCGGGTGACCCACCGGTGGCAGTGACCGGTCCGGGCTCATGCTGCCGCCCGGCCGCCCCCCGGGGGCCCGCGGCGAGCACTGGCGGCCGGGCACTCCCCGGCCCGTGCCAGTGTGCGGTCACCCGGGTCGGACCGTCACTGGCCGCACTTTGCCAGACGGTTCAAGGCTGCCGGACCCGGGGGTAGATCGGATAGTATGAGGGGGGTGGGTGTGGTACTGAGAGCAGACGCCGGTACTACAAGCCCGGTGGCGGGGAGGGTCCTGTGCCTGATCTATTTCCGGCTGAGAAAGAAAGTCGCTATGGTGAGTTCGGGGTGTGTGTGTAGGTGCAAGATGGCATGGCGGGAGAGGATGATAGAGAGGATGGTGGTAATGAGATAGAGAATGAACACAGACATGATGACATGTGAATTGTTGGATCATATATGATGTGTGGGGATGTTGTTTCCTCGAAGAACAAGTGTACTTTTGGCCCCAAGTTGTGAACAGGCTTCAAGTGAAAGAACACGAGAGTTCAAACGGTGGCCAACACGAGTTAACATTCAGACTTCTTAATCTTGTGCTATATTATCATCTTCAACCAAAGGACGCGCAGGAGCTGCTCGTTTCCTGTTGAAGAGGATCAACACCAACAGGAGGCAGCAACTGCTTTCACCCCCATGATGAGTGTTACTTTCATGTCCACTCGCTTGTTTCACGCTCGAAGAGCCATGTTGCCATGAGACTTTTTGCATGATAGGAACGTGGCTGTAGCAACACAACACCATCTCTTGTACCTTCAGCTGACACTTGTGTACAGTTCCAGACCGTCGCGCAGTTTCAGGAGCTGTACTACTACCGTCCCTGGGCGTGAGTTTGCCTTGAGATACTCCTAACAAGCGTTGAAACGATTCCTTGCAGGAAAACTCAGAACGAGGGCTATGCTGATCATATGTACATGAGAAAGCTCTTCTGGGACCACTCCTTTGCTTACGACGATTCTTACTATCAGGTGTCTTTTGTTGCGGTGTGAAGATCAGTTGTTGATCGAGCCTTTCCAGGACCCTCCCGCACACAAGCACCAGTCTGTCTCCTACAATGCCTATGCCGACAGAAAGGACTACCTCAAGATCTTGAATGCCTACGGGACAGGGTGCGCCTCCTCGCACTGCTATTAAGCAAACAGCAGAAAGGAAGACAGGTCCATGACAACCGGGCTTGCTATTTAGGGTTTTTTCCACTTTGAATGCATTCATGTGCAAAAACTCACACCATTGTTTTGAAATATGGCGCAAGTTCATAACTAGCATCATCTGTTGTTCGACTCTCTGCTCTCTCCCTGCAACCAACAGCATCCTCAGCACGTGTTACGTGTATGCTCGCATCGACTGCAACCGTTTCCTCCTTTCTCAACCATGAAGCCCAGGGCATCGAAGCCCCTTCGCATAAGAGCACCTTGAAACGACAATCGTTGCTGGCCTGGTCATGTAATTGGATTCTTAAAGACTGCAAC